AGCTTCGAGGATCTTTCCTTTATCTCTATTGTTCTGAAATTTTACAAAGATAAGCCTTGCTGTGGGTCCGTTTTCATCCTTTGTCCTGGGTACTTAGTGGTCCTTTTCTATCTGAAAATTCTTGCCCTGCAATTCTGGACATTTTTCTTGAATTATTTCTTTGATGATTTCCTTCCCTCTTTTTCTTTTCTTTTCCTTCTTCCCTCTTCCTGCCCCTCCTCCTCTTCTCACCTCCTTCCTCTTCCTTCTCCTTCCTCTTCCTTCTCTTGAAATCTCTCTCACTGCTATCATTGGGATTTTGCATTTCTGGGACTGGCTCACTAACATTCTTGCTCTCCTTTTGTCTTATTTTATAGTTTTGCTCTTCTATCTGAAAAATGTTCTCAAATTTATCTTCCAACCCATCTGTTAATTTTTAAACAATTCTGCTGTCATATTTTTAATTTTCAACAAGTATTTTTTGTTCTCAGGATATTCCTTTTTCATAATCCTGTCCTTGTTCCATTCATAGAATATATTATTTGAGGTAAGAGGACTAAAAAGCTATCTGAAAGCCCTAAGTAAGTGGATAGGCTCGTTAACTTTCAACTTCAATGTAAAGGGACCTGGCTAGGCAAAAATGGTGAACTCCTGATACCAACATATTTAGAACTTTCCTCTGGGGGTAGTCAGATTCCCCAGTCTCCACTCTGAAAGGTGAAAGCCTGGCTGCCAACAATCTCAGAGCTCAGTGGGGGAAGAAAGCTGGTGGTTCCAGCATTCGGTGTCACCTGTGCACTTAAGCCTGCCTCCTCTTCTCTGCCTACGCCTGTTTAGTAGAGTATTCATACCCTAAGCTGTACCTAGTATTCCCTAGCCCAGAAATCTCATGTTTATCCATTTCCAGAAAATAAACCTTTAGTCTTCATCTGAGGCAAGGGAGGGAGAGGTAGCCATAGGTCAGGTGTGAGGGAGGGGATTCAGAATTTCATTGGTTTTTAAATAGCTTTGCCCACTTCTTATTGCAGCCTTCCTCATTGGCTCCATTGCAGGGGTAGTTGGCATTGCCCATTCCTGATCCTTTTTAGAATTCTGCCGATAGGTTAAGTGGGTCTCAGCTCTCCCCATTGCTGCCAAGGATTTGGATTCCTTGGATTACCTATGTCATCCATGTTATTTCTAGCCTCTAAAGTTTTGTTGTCTCCTCTCCCATCTCCCATCTAAGTGTGTTTGTATCTTGAAAAACAAAATGAAACAACAAAGCTTTTACTATAGTTTTAATGGTGTTTCCAAAGGGAACAAAATTAAATGTGTGTTTAATCCACTATCTTTGTTCAAAGGTCTAGAATGCTTCTTTGTATGTGTATTATATCTGTGTGTTCTGCATTTGCCATTAAGCCAAAGGTTTCTGGCGTGTTTGGACCAGATGCCTTTGCAAGCAATCAGTATCTTCCCTCCATGGCCAATGAAAAGAGACACTTAGAGCCTACCTCCTAGACACACACACACACACACACACACACTCACTCACTCCTCCTCAAATTCTTAGATAACCTAAAACCTGCGCACACATGGGGCAGCTGAAAAGAATCCATTCTGCAAACTGCTGAACTTCACTAGCACACAGAGCTCCATTCCCACACCATAGGGCCATTTGGAGCCCTATATTCAATAATACAAATCTATAGAGGAAATGACTTACACATTGACACTACAGTGATTTAAAAGATTGGCTCAAGAAATACTTACGGAATTCATATGAAAAGGATAAATAAATTAATATGATAATAAGTGAAAATATAGAAGACTTAGAAATAAATCCAGGAAAGACAATGAACTAATGGGGGCAATTCCCCTGGAAGAGACTATAATGAGACAAATTACAGAAAGATGTCTCCTAACTGAGGAAAATCTTGAGTGTTCTTAACAAACGGGCCCATTAAATCACCAAGAAAACATGGCAGATGCCCAATAAATCTTTGCATGATAAATTAATAAATGATAAAAATACATATAGACACATCAGGGAGACTTTTAAAGTTTCAAGTATAAATTAAAAATGGTATACACATATACAGAGTCCTATCTGGGTTAAAATATCAAAAGCCTCACCCTTCCCAGGCCCAGCTCTCCACAATCCAACACAGTGGCCTGCGTCTGTTCTGATTGGTTGGTGCCCTTGTGCACGCACCCCAAGGGCCACTCAGACTATAACGATAGGCTGGGTAACGGGAAGCCATTTTGCTTCCAGTATGCTTTCAGCTTGTTCTGTCTTTAAAGTTTAGAATTAACCTGCTGCTTGCTTACACAGCTGCTGGGCACATGATTAGAATATGACCTTGAGGAAAAACAGATTGAGTCCACAGTAGGCCAACCACAGACTGCTCATAACAAGATCCACCGATGACCTAGAGCAAGTCATGATGACTTGCACAAAGCTTGCTTTCTGCCACCAACCCCCTTCACCCCTTCCCTTTGTAAGTTGCTCAGTAAGCAGAGGAGATGAGATGGTCTTTAAGACTATAGTCTGCCATCTCCTCAGGCTGCAGGCACTTGAATAAACCACCTTTCCTTCACCAACACCTGTCTCTCCTGTTTGGTTGGGGAGTGGCAGGCAATGGAACCTGTGTTTGACAACACCCTGGCTATTAAATGTTTTCACCATCACCACTGGCTAAGAATTCCACTGTGCATCAGGCGTAGGGAACTCAAACGCCTACAGCTGTGAGTAGTGAGGGTCCCAGCAACTGGAGCACTCGGTCCCCTCCCAAAGTGGTACTGCTGCTCACCTCAACCAGTTCTTGCTGACCTTCCCATTATTAAAAAGAAGTTGGAAATTCTGCTACGTAAAAAATAACCCAATTTGGAAATGTTACTTCAAATTTAAAAAGAAAAAATGTCCTATTCGGGTCAAACAAAACACAACTGTAGCCTTTACCTGGGCACCATGTTCATCTCTCTGCTATTGTTGTAGGGAGAATCCTTAAAAACAAAGGTTAGTCATAGGTACTGGAGAACCAATACACCTGAAAGAGAAAAATTGCATGCTTTTGGCGTTATTGTATAACAATAAAACTCATTGCAATATATCATGCAATTTTTCCTTCCTTCCTTCTAACAGGGTCTCGCTTTATTGCCCAGGTTAGAGCGCAGTGGCATCATCATAGCTCACTGCAACCCCAAACTCCTGGCCTAGTAAGCCAGGCGCAGTGACTCATGCCTGTAATCCTAGGACTTTGGGACGCTAAAGCAGAGGTAATTGCTTGAGACCAGGAGTTTGAGACCAGCCTGAGTAACATAGTGAGACCCTGTCTCCACAAAAATAGAAAAATTAGCCAGGCATGGTGGCATGCCGCCATAGTGCCAGCTGCTTGGGAGGATGAGGGAGGAGGAGTTTTTTTGTTTTTTTTTTTAAGACAGTCTCACTCTGTCACCCAGATTAGAGTGCAGTAGTGTCAGCATAGCTCACTGCGACCTTAAACTCCTGGGCTCAAGCGATCCTCCTGCCTCAGCCTCCCAAGTAGCTGGGACTACAGGCATGTACCACCACACCCAGCTAATTTTTCTATATTTTGTAGAGATGGGGTCTGGCTGTGTTGCTCAGGCTGGTCTCGAACTCCTGACCTCAAGTGATTCTCTCACCTTGGCCTCCCAAAGTGCTAGGACTACAGACATAAGCCACCATGCCCAGAAAATTGTAAAATTTTCTGGCTTCCAATTCAAATTTAACTTTACAGTCTTTCCCCTTAACTTACTTGAATTTATACTTGATCTCTTTTCTCTAATACTGAAAATCTTGGCTCCTAACATTAGCATAATTACTTATTTTCTTTTTCCTACTTTACATAAAATCGTTTCAAAATAATATCCATATTGACAATAAGTCTACTAAATGAAGTTTAAGCTTTTTTGCAGTTTCATTTGTTCTTACACTATGTCCCACGGTGTATGTACAGTCTGAACTGTACATTTTACAGAAAGTGTGTGCTAAGTGCTAGAGGCACCTATGTTGAAAAGCTACCCCCCAAATTGTTTGTTCCCGTCTAGCTGCAGGGGAAGGAACAGCCCTGGGGGGAGTTGGGCTGAATTATTGGAGGTCGCTTACTGCCGGTGCTAAACTCGGAAGAGATTCCAACATGGCTGGATACTTTCCGGACAGCCCTCATATTTATACACACAATAGAATACTATTTACTATTTGGCCATAAAAAAATGAAATCATGAAGAGACTCTTTTTTTAAGATTTGTAGATGCATGCCAACTTATTTCACCTTCCCAATCTCCTTGAAAAAAACCGGAAATGTGGGTTTTCTGAAGCACGGGTCTGGGGGTTTTCTGAAGCACAGACTTAGGTGATCTGGATGGAACTGGTGAGTGGATCGGATTGCCTGCTAGAGAGACTGTAGAATGAGAGGATGCCGAATCCAGGGGAACATAGACTTTAGGGACAGTAGGAGTCAGAAATCTCAGAGAGGCAGGGGGAACCCGCGGGAGCACTAAGTTGCTCTGAGCCTAGGAAAAGGGTAAAGAGTTTTAACATCAGTTGGAGAAGCAACTGTCGTTCTCCCAGGGGGAGCTCCCAAGCACAGCAGGGACCACCAGCCCTAAACGGGCATGGACTTCATTTAGGGCTTTCATTGGCAAGGCCCAGGGATGCAAGGACCGAGCAGGTGGCCTGCCCTGGAGGAGGTCAGTTGTGCAAGAAGTTGGGTCTGCAACTGCGAGGAAATTCCGAGCATGCGATGCGTTCCAGCTGGGGGTTCACCGTGCAGGAGAGAGAAATGGGCGAAGAGCAAGGCGGGGCTGGGAGCTGGCTAGGATTGCCCGTGTGGGCTGCCTCCCCTGGCCATTTCTGTTATTCCATTTTCACCGTCTGGGGTTGTGCCAGCGCCTTCACTTCCGCCACCAGAGCCCAAGGAAACCAGGTCCGGCGCTCCCAGCCCGCAGCAGCAAGTTCCCGCCCCGCCCCGGCTAGGCGGGTCTCCGCCCACACGCTCGCGGCTCCTCCTACCGCGGCGGCCCCCGGCGGAGGAGGGCGGCATGGAGGGCGGCCTGGGGCGTGCGGTGTGCGTGCTGACCGGGGCTTCCCGCGGCTTCGGCCGGGCGCTGGCCCCGCTCCTGGCCTCGCTGCTGTCACCTGGCTCCGTGCTCGTCCTAAGCGCCCGTAGCGACGAGGCGCTGCGGCAGCTGGAGGCCGAGCTGAGCGCGGAGCGGCCGGGTCTGCGCGTGGTGCGGGTGCCCGCTGACCTAGGCGCCGAGGCCGGCTTGCAGCAGCTTCTGGGCGCCCTTCGAGAGCTCCCCAAGCCCGAGGGGCTGCAGCGACTGCTGCTCATCAACAACGCAGGTAGGACCCCCGGAGGGTGGGGGCGGACTCCCCATTTGAGCGTTCACTTCCCCCACCGTTGGGGAATTTACCTAGGGAGTAAGATAAGACGCCTGAAAATCCAAAGGCCCAGTTTTCCAGCTGCGGTCGCGAGCGTAGGCGGGGCGAACAGGAGGACCCGGAACCGTCGGCGCAACCTTTCTCCCCCTCCCTCCGCCTCGGTTTGGCCGGCCAGGTTTTCTAAAACGCCTGCAGAAATTTCCCGATCTCTTTGCTCTGCGCCCTCTGGCGGAGTCCTGAGTCAGAGAATGGGATCTCCAAACAAGTAAATTCTCCTGCTTCTTCAAAGACACCCAAAGCACTCCCAGGGAAAGGCAGGTGCCTTCTCAGTCTGCAGCGTGGCGTGGTGGGTTCCCAGGTGTGTCTGTCTGCAGAACTGGGAAAGAGGGAGGCATCTTCAGAAGTGCTGGACAGATTACTCCTCTAGGTCTGGATGGGAAGGGATATCGGGAGGATTGGGGAAGGAAAAAGCCCCACCTGCACTGGTTTATTCCTAAGGTCTGGTTTTCAGGCACTCTTGGGGATGTGTCCAAAGGCTTCGTGGACCTGGGTGACCCAACTGAAGTGAACAACTACTGGGCTCTGAACTTGACGTCAACGCTCTGCCTGACCTCCAGCATCTTGAAGGCCTTCCCAGAACGTCCTGGCCTCATTAGGACTGTGGTTAACATCTCGTCCCTCTGTGCCCTGCAGCCCTTCAAGGGCTGGGCACTGTACTGTGCAGGAAAGGCTGCTCGTAACATGATGTTCCAAGTCCTGGCTGCAGAGCAACCTGGTGTGCGGGTGCTGAGCTATGCCCCAGGTAGGTGGGAAGTACTGCCACCTCTATCTGCCGGAACCGGCTGGTTCTCCTCTGGGAGCTGGGCAAGGTGCCTAATCTGTCTCTAGGAAAGAACCCACAGAGTATATTGTCCCTGAATCGTGATTATGCCTTAGGGGAAATACAGACTCCAGGGAAGTTAGAACTGGCAGGGGCCAGGGATAGGGCAGAAAGCAGGGAGTTTCCTGGGCTGGAGGGTGGGGCAGGAAAGTCTGAGATATTAGATGGAGTTTGAGAGAAGACTAGGGTTGGAATTCCTGGCCTGTACCCCATTTCCTCATGTGAAATGGAGAGGCTGCTACCTGTCTACAGGATACTTTGGAGGACTAAATGAGATAATATATGTGAAAATGATCCCTACCTGTGAAGTGCTATCTAATTGTTAAATAGGACTTATCACACTGTATCATCTTCACATATTTTCTTGTCTCCTTCCCTCCCTTGGCAGAAAAGCCTTGAAGGCAGGGACCATGCACTGTTCATCTGACATTCTAAGCACCAAGCAAAGCACGCACTAAGGCAATCTGCAGTACATCTTAGTTGAATGAGGAGCAGACAGACATTGCTGAGTCTGTCCATCCTAGGCTGAACTGTGCTGGATCAGGGGGGCGGAGGATGCTGGGATAAATAAGGTTAGAGCCCTTGTCCTCATGAAAGTCAAAAGGAGCCTTGTGACACTTGGTCTGGTTTCTGACCACCCTACCATGATGCCACAACGCCCCTTTCTTAACAGTGAGGCTTGTATTCTAGGCTTGAGGATGCAGCAATTAGAAGGTGGTGAAAGAACTTCAGTAGGGTGTGTGAACAACTTAGGTAGAGATCCAGTAACCTGTCCCCCTTGGGAATAGGATCAGGACCCTGGGGCCGAGAGGTAGAATGGCATGCCCAAAGCCCAGATGAGGCAGGCCCAGGATCCCAACTTGCTTCCAAGTCTTCCTCATGTTCTCCGGGACTCAGCCCCGGCCCAACACACATAGTCATTCTTGCAGCCAACATTCTGTTCATCACCTACTATGAACTCAGCCTAGGACTCACTCACACTGCAGTGACCAAATGTAAAAGAGCCAGGAGCAAAGCACATTCCAGAATGCCACGTGGCTAGGTTAGATCTCAGGAGCTGCCCTGGGCGTTATGAGAGAGCCGAGATTTTGGGGAGGTCTCCAGGGCCTGAACAAAGGCAGAAGCCAACCTGATTTTCATTTCAGTCTCTGAAACAATGTTCTAACAAGTGTCCAAAGGTAGAATGTGTTGTTTGGAAAGGTAGCAAGTCCTCTTTCATCAGGGATGCACAAGTGATTGGAAGGTGGTCCTAGATCAGCCGGGTGATTCTCCTTCCAACGCTGGGATTCTGTGATTTTCTGCCTCTGAGGACAATTAATTGCAAATTCTGGGGTGCTGTAATTCCTATATGAAGAGTAGAGAGTGCTTAGAATTCAGAAGGAAACGATTCCCTTTGGGTGGGGTGGCGTTATTGGAGGTAGGTGAACTGGACATTGACCTTGAGAGCTGTTTGGATGTTAGCAGGTGGATGTGCTCCAGATAAATGTAGGAAAGGTGGGAAAACTCATTATTCGAGTAACAGGTCTTCTCATTTGCCTGCAGACTAGGTGTGCCCAGATGGCAGCAGATAAAGGGGCCTTGAGTACTAAGCCAGGCTATTGGGAAGCCATTGAGTTTTGAGTGGAGAAATGATGTGATCTTAGTGATGTTTTAGCAAGATGAATTGAGCAGACGACTACTGAAGGAGTTGAAGCAGACAGAGAACCAAGGCTGTACAAAGGGCCTGATTGTCAGGATATGTAGATGTGGAAGGGTCCTACCTGGTGCCCAGTTGGCTGTAGGAGCAGAGGGGGAGGGAAAGAGGAGGTGATGGAGGGTTTCAATCTGGGAGAAGAGTACTTCATTGATAGAAACAGGAAAGTCAGGAGGAGGTGCTGGTAGGACAGGAGATGAGAAGCTTGGTTTTAGACAGTGGTCTGGATGGCTCATGTTCAGTGAACTTTGGAATTTGAGTCTGGAACTCGATAGTGACAAAATGGAGCCTTTAGTGACTCTAACCACACACTTCAGCCAAGATGAAGTGTTGTCTCTGGCCAGACCTGACTCAGCCCCACGCCCCATATACAATGAGGACTGTGACCGTTTGTCCCTACCTTGGCCATATCCCCTCATCTTCTGCTTTTTATCCCCTAGGTCCCCTGGACACAGACATGCAGCAGTTGGCCCGGGAGACCTCCGTGGACCCAGAGTTGCGAAAAAGTCTGCAGGAGCTGAAGACAAAGGGGGAACTGGTGGACTGTGGGATGTCAGCCCAGAAACTGCTGAGCTTGCTGCAGAAGGACACGTTCAAGTCTGGTGCCCACGTGGACTTCTATGATAAATAAGCCCATGTCCTTGGCTTCCGGGGCCTTTCTGCCTCCACTTTCAGGCACACCCCAGAGTCCTCTGTTTCCCCACATCCTGCCACAGTGGCACCACCAATCCTGCCTTACACAGATAAACACTTGTGCCTACTATCCTGCCAGCAGATGCAGCAGCTGTGGGGCCCTTGGGGTTGCTGGTGTTAGCAGTTGTCAGGAATCTCTATTGTGCACCCCGGGTTGTGAGGAGGCCTCTGTAGGAAGTTTAGGAGCAAGGTTATGGGTGTTAGCGTTCTTTCTCTCCAGGAATAGAGCAGGAAGAGAAGCTGAAACACTGAAGAGGGCGGAGTGAGCTGGTGTCAAATAGGAGGACTCATTTAGAGGGGAGGGAGTGCAGACAGGACAAGTTCCAGCCCACACGGATACCCCTTGCTCAGGGTAACAGGACCTTCTGTTGAACCACGTGTCCTCACTCTGATGCCTCCTTCCTCCAGAACCCACCTCCTCTTCCCCAGGCTGGGAGATCAGGCACCTGAGAGTCTGTACACAGCAAATAAAATGTAGATTATCCTCGATTAATGCCTGCTTTCTCCTCTGATACAGGGCCCATAACTACCTCCCTGGTTCACTAGGCCAGGGCAGCCCCTGAAGTTTTCCTTAGTTCCCTGTCCTGGGGCTGTCTTGCTCTCACCAAGCCCCACTCAGAAACAATCCAAGGTCTGAACAAAGTTGTCCAAGATGGGCATGGCCATGTGCCTGTTCCTTCTTCATGCTTTTGCCCACACTGACCCCAGCTTTACTGCTCTTTCCTCACCCTTGGGCTGTTCGAAGAATATCCACCCTTCAGGGCCCAAAGCCTGCCCTCCCCATGGCCCTCAGGGATGGGTCCTTTCCCTGACTCTGCTTTGGAGTCCCAACTCTACCCTTGTCCACGTGGCAATACTCTGAATGGATCCCACCTCTTGTTGGCTCTCTTGGCATTGCCCATGAGGCCTGTGGTCCTGGCCTTCCATGCAGTGGACTTAGAACCTTATGCTTTTGGGAGAGATGGGCAAGATTCCAAGAGAGGGAAGCCCTGAGAAATCAGGACTGCAGCCAAGCCAGTCCTTCTGCAGGTTGATAGACTTAGGCTGAGCTGGGAGCTCCACAGTGGTGGTGGTCTGCAGCCAGCCCCCTGGCCCCTGGTCCATGATTGGGAGGAGGGATCGTGGTCCCCTGCCAGTTGACTCCAGGGCTCAGCCCTGCCTCTGAGCTCACAAAAGAGAACTCTCTTTGGTCCTCCTTGTGGTCAGCAGAGGGCGCACTGAGGCCATGCCTCCTGGAGAATTGCGGCCGCTCTTGCTGGAGGTCAGGCCCTGGACTACAGAGTACCCTAGGAACATGCTTTTACCTTGTTCAGCAGAGACTTCGCCCTCACTGGAGTCAAAACCACTGGGCTCAGATTCCTGGTCTGCCACTTACCAGCTGGTAACCCAGGACAAGTTGTTTTCTCTGAGCCTCGGTTACCTTATCTGAAAAATGTGGATTATAATGGCACCTACCCCAAAGGGTCATTAAGAGTATTAAGTGACCTAATGTTTGTAAATAATCTGCACAGTGCTAGAGTTGCGCTAAGTGCTCCATAGATGCTAATATTATTTATTGCCTTTAATATCAAGATCCAGACCATCCTGAAGCCCCCCCTTGCAGCTTCATCTCCTCTTAGCTGCCCAGACACCCTCCCCTTGCTGACTTGTGACGAGAACTCTCACTGCACTGTGCCTATTCCAGGCAGGGACAGTGGAGGCTGGGGTTCAGTCTGGACAATTTGTCTTGGACTCACAGGAAAATGCATGAGCTTTGGAGTTAGGAACCCTCAGTCCCACCTCCCTCTCTGTGACGGAGATGCTGTGGGGTGTTGGCAGAGCTCACTTCCTCTCTGGGCAGTTCCTTAGAGCAGATGAACGCCAAGATTCTTTCCTGTAAACCTTCCTCTAAGCTGTTTCAACCCTGGTCGGGCTGCATCACGTGGCATCAGGTTCGGCCTCTGCAGGAGGGAATGGGCTAGCTTGGGCTGCCCTTAATGCCGCGGTGGGTGGATTTCCTCACCCTGCCCCTGGCTCCCATGGGAGTGTGAGAGTAGTCAGTGCCAGTTCAACCCCAGTTGAGCTGTGGATCAGGGTTGATTCTCCCTCTGTCCCCTCCAGGCTGGTTGGCAGGGGCTTAGTGAGGAGTACCACATGTCCCCACGAGGTGGCGAGGCCCTCCCACGCCTGACATTTGTCTTCTCTGAACCCAAAGGATTAAGAGCTTTGTAAGTACTCCCTAGGCCTGTCTCTCCCTGCAGTCCAGGACTCTCAGGGGGCCCCAGAGAGCTCGGAGGTGACAAAGGGACAGAATCACTCTCCCTGGCAGGTCCCAAGGCCTCCTCAGTGACTGGTGGTCTCTGTCCACAGCAATTTCCCAGGCCTTGCTCCCAGCCCCTGACTTAGCCTCCTGGCTGGGGCAGGGAAGCTTTCATGCCAACCTTCAGCCATGGGCAGCCACCCTCTAGGGGCTAACCATCTGTGTTCCCAGAGTGCATGGCCTGGCCTTGGCTACCACACACATGAGCACATGCAAGCGCACACAAATACATGCCTGCACATGGCCAGAGCCCAGCTGCCGGAGCGAGCAGGGCCACAGATTAGCCAAAAGGCAAATAAGGTATTTCTTTGTCTTGGTATGAGAGAGCTGGGCAGTTTTCTGGTTTAGTGTTTAATACCCCCGAGCTGGGGGCTAGCAGCTGTCCTGTGAGGAGCAGGCGAGTGAGGGGAATATTCCAGGCCCACCCCAGGGGCCATGAGCATGACCAGCTGGGACTAGGCTTATCAGAAACTTCCCCCGCCCCCAGTTCCTGTCCTCTGTCCGGTGAATACATCCACATGCCCCTCACCCAGGCTCATGCCGAGTCCATTGTCAGCCAAGCCTGGAGGCGCCAGCTGCTCCTACCTCCCCACTCAGGACCACACCCGGGACATGCCCCTAGCACCGCCGTGTCTCACCCCAGGGAGCTGGGCTCTGGGACGCTGCCTTCTGGCCTCCTTCACCCACATCCTTCCTCACAGCCTCCTATGCTAACATGCCTGCAGTCATTCTGACTCACTTAGCAAATGGGCACACCCCTGTGTGAACGAGCCCCAGAGCCCCAACAGTGCTTCTTCCCCATGAGCTCCTGTGTGGTGACAGGGAGGTGGGTGACGAGCACTTCCAGTTGCCTGAATGGAGACCTCATGGGGTGACACTTCTCCAGCCCCCATGGCACCTCTCAGTGATCTGGAGTGCAGGGGAGGAGAGCAGTGGACTAGAAGCCACTAGACAGCTTGCTGGGAAGTTAGCTGAGGACTCACTGACTTGCGGGAGGGGTCACAGGGTAGGGTTCAGAGGACGGAACAGCCATCCTCGGTCCCACTGCCCTGTCCTGAGGTCTCCGGAGGCAACGCTGGAAGGCAGGTAACAGCACTGGATGTTCTCCTCACGCTTTTCAAGGAGAGCCCACCTCCCGGAGGGAATTACTGTTAATTCCCAGCAAGACTCCCCTACAGTGCCCTGTGTCTCTCATTTCACCATGGAAAATGGCACCCTCAGCCCTAACAGCCCTTTGTAGGAGCTGGGAGAGCCCTGGACTTCTATTTTTAGTGAGGAGTTGGGGGAAAAGAGGAAAGGAGGGAGAAAATTCCTTTGTTGTTTTGGGGGAGTCCACCTCTCAGCCCCTCCTCCAGCTGACCCCAGCAGCTTCGAGCGATTCCTCAGCTGACTAATCTGAGCACCGTCCAATTCCCGCTCCCCGACCCCAGGGCAAGGGAAGAGAGCGGCCGGCTCCCACTCCCTCCCAGACCTGGCGCCTCCTCTGGGAGCTGTGGGAGTCTCTGTGGCCCATGCTTCGGTTTAGGTCTTGGTTCCGCGGCTGCTGAGGCCTTTCCCGCCCAGGCCTGCAGTGGCGGGCAAATCCTGCCTTTTCCAAGCCCAAGCTTGATTCCAGGGCTCCAGGCTCCAAGGCTTCAGTCTCCAGAGGCTGTGTGTATCCCACAGCCTTTACCGGACCCAGCGCATGGGAGGCACTGTTGAGTGATGAATGAATGAGTGAATGGGAGAGGGCGTGGGCAAGTGCGAGAGTGATCGCTGCTGTCTGTGGCCCACTGCAGGCGTACGGTGAAGCATTTGAAACGGCTCGGTGCTGACTGGTGCCTGGGAGCCAGGCCTCTGCAAGCAGCCGCACGGTGTGGTCCCCCACCCAGCCCGGGCGTCCCCGAGTGGGGAATCCCTGCAGGAAAGCCTGCTGTGTTTAACCTGGAAGCAGGTGGGGCTGGGAAGTGTCAGAATAAACGGGTGAGTTTTTTAAAAGAATCACTATCCCATTGCTCCTCCTTCACCCCAGATTCTAATTCAATGGATCTAGGTGTGTTCCCACCTGCAGCAGAGCATTAAGAAGTGAGCTGTGAGCCTTGAGCACCCAAGCGGCATTGGCAGAAATCAAAGAATGCAGCCCCTCGGAGAAGGGGGCGTTACTGGGACAGAGTCACGGTTAGGGATTGGGGTCAGTCTAAGGTCAGAATTAAGGATCAATATATGGCCAGGGCCAGGGTCACTATGAGGCCAGATTTGGAGTCGGCACAGGGCCACAGTTAGGCTCAATCTGTTGTGGGGTTGGGAATGTGGAGACGGAGACAGAAAACGGGAGGGCATAAGAGGCCTGTTTTTAAAATGCTCGTTTGCCCGTAATGATGGATGCCAGGGCAAGCTGGCCCATTAGGAGAAGAAGGCCAGGCCTGAGGACAGTGACCAAGGCTGGGGGGCTGCTTGCATGGCCCTAGGATAGCCCCAGATCTCCCCAACCTGCCGCCCTGGGCAGGAGCCCTGTGCGAAGGGCAGGGACAGCTGTGTCATTTTCTGGAACAAAAAGGGCTTTCTCTGAGAGTCCAGCCTTGCGGCCTGCCTAGGTTAGACAGGACAGGGACCTGGGCAAAATGGGGGAGTTGAGAGGAGGCAAGTCCCCTCCCTGCTCTGCAGCACACAGGCCGAGGACACACAGCGAGGGTCAAAGACTGAGACAGGGTGAGCAGGACAGTGAGGAGGAAGATGGGGAAAGGGACAGGAACAGGAAAACAGAGAGACGGAAAGATTCGAAAATCTAGTAAAACGGATTTAGAAGGAGGGAGAGAGATTGCAGGAGAAGCCGCACACCCTCACACACTCGCACACACGCATTCTCTCTCCCTCTCACATACACACACTCTCACACACACCGGGGTGTGCGCTCACGCAGCAGCCCTGAGCCTTGCTGGAAATAATCCCGTTCGCAACACCGGGGCCTCAGCTGCACAGGCGGTGCCGAGCTGTTACCTTGCACATCTGTCAGCTCCAAATGTAGAAGCTGTCACAGGGGTGTGTGCGCGAGCGTGAGGGTGTGTGTGTGCGTGTGCGTGTGTGCCTGTTCCTCCCAGAGAAGTCTGAGGCCTTAGTGGGCAGAGGGAGATCCCGAGGGCCCAGAGGCTCTCCCTCAAGTCCAAGCCTGCAAGCCGGCTCGTGCCTTCCCTTCCTGCATGGGGAG